ACTGATACTCAGTGTACAAAAACAAAGGAATTATCTTTAAAGAAATGTTTACAGAAGTATTCCAAAATTTGTTTTATAAAAACTTTGATAAGCCTCTGTTCACTCCGAAATCTGCTTCCTATAAGTCAGATAGGCATGACTTCCTGCCTTAACACTCCACCCCACCCCACCCAGAGACATTTAGACATGCCCAGTACCAAAATCTTCCACAGACAAGGAATCAATATCTTTGCTTCCAAGTAAAAGATGCCAGATAATGCATGATCCATACCCCTCTCCCTCCTGACTACAGAGAACAAACGTTTGTTTTAGATCGTTGCCTCAAGAAGAGGGTGGAGTGAAGCTTATAGCCCCAAAGGACTTTCCCCCAGCCCCACCTTCTGTTAACAAAGTCTTGTCTTGACTGATGAGAGAGATAACAGGAATATGGAGCAGAAAAGGGAGGGAACTCCGGTTTGGAACCCATCCCAAAGTGAAGAGAGAAAAAACAGCTCAGAAAAGCAGAAGGCAGTTTTCTAGATCTGTGGAAAGCTAAGTGGTCTGAAACCAGGTTGTAGATCTGTTTTAAGATGGGAGCTGATCTGATTTATTGGCTCTGATACCTTGATTGTTTCTAGTAACTGTTTCCAGTAATTTTCGTATCTGTCATTATTGTTTCTCTATGTTATGTTCTCTGCAAGTATCGTTGAAGAGTGTTTTTTCCCGGACAGGGACAGCCTGGCCACTATACTTTGGTAACTTCCCGACTTGACTACTGAAGGCACCTTATTTTATACGGGTTGCCTCTTGAATGACCCAGCATTTGAGGCTGGTGCAGAATGCTGTCTCAAACATCTCTTACAGTCTACACGATACTGATCCTAAAGGAATATACTGGCTGCCTATACAATGGCTTGAACATTTTGAGAATAACCTTTAAATAGTTTAAATGTTTAAGATTCAGAGGCACACCTTTCCTAATATTCATCTTCCTCAACATTAAGATCTGCAGGTGGCATCTCCTTAGCACCGAAGGTTGAGAGGTACGCTGCAGCGGTACCTGGAGCGGGTGTTCCCCGTCATGGCAACTCAGCCTTTGAAATACCCTTCTCTGCAAGGCTTTGGCACCAAGTGAAGACCTGGGTTTTTACTCTTCCATTCAGGACCTACTCATAGACTTGCTGTGCCTACTGTCTCTTGTAAAAATCTGTACCTCTGTTTTAAATAAATATTGTTTATTTTTATGTTTTGTCTTTGGTATTTTTTGAATTTATGTCTTGAGATGTTTAGGATAATCAACAGGCTATAAACATTTATTAAAATGTTTTTAAATAAAGAAAATTCTTATGTTCAAAGTACAGGCTGCATGTTAGGACTGAAAAAAAGAAAGCATGCTGCAGCATATAGGTTTTAATTTTTTTAAAAAATACTCAATTACATTTTATATCATAAATGTACTATATTCACTATAAATTATATAATAAGTTTGTAATTTAATTTACTATATAGCAATTTCATTAAAATCCAAGTTTTTCTTTAGCTCTTAACTTGTTTTGGTCAGGCACCAGGTATGTATGGGATTTATATGCATGCATATATCCATTAGTTTGTCCTCAAGTATCAATCTTTTTTATTGATTGTCAGTGCTGGAAAAATCATTTATAGCTAATTATTTTTAAAACAATTTTAATAATTTTCAGCAAAAAGTACCCAACCTCTTTCTTTTTATTATGTATGGCTTCAAAATCAGATTTGGGCTTTAAAAATCTGGATGGTAGCAAAGAGACACAGAAAATTCTTTGACTTTGCTGCTATGTAGTGGTACTCCAGCTTTTTCCAACCCAGTTCTGGTGGTCTGTCAGACCCAAGCGAATCCTTACAAGTGAAACTCTCTGCATTAATATGAAAGGGCTAGATATCTGAATAAAAGATAAAAATTTGTACTTTAAAAAAAAATCAAATAGTTCTTGGGGGGAAAAAATCTGACTTTAGCAGCACTAACTACCTAAATGCTATCAGAACATAGCACATTTATGTTTTATAGGTTTTTAATATATTTTTGTAGTTAGGTGTTCTCTGTCATTGGAGTTATGTATTTAAGATGCATTGCGTGTGTGTGTGGCCAAAATGAAGAGAAATTTCAGTTAGTAATACATAATACAGTAACTAGAATATTAACTACAACTGGCATTATGGTCATAATATAGTAGTACTACATTAACTTTATTGGCACTCAGTTAATTTCCCCTGTTTTAACAACTGCCAACTGATTAATTTTGATTTTTTTTAATCTTACAGGAGATTAATAAATTTTGGAGCACATCATTTTGTCCCAAGCTAGAAAGCTAGTTCATATTATGATTTGTTCAAAACAATCCAACTTCAAATACAACATTATAAACCTTTAAACAACCATAGTTAAATATTCTGTACAAATATAATACTAAGTTCTCAAAAACATGAGAAAACTATCTATCTGCTCTTCTTAGCTGTGCTGGTTTACTCCTCTAATGGTAAACAACAGTTTGTTCCTGTCTCATGAAACTATAGTTTAAAGTCCAAATAACATCCAGTGTTACAGCCAAGTACCAAATGATATTCAGATCATTTAGAAGCATCACTGTTTTCAGACAGATAGCCTCTATAAACATTATCCCTTTGCCCTGTTCTACAGTCTAGACAATGATACCTTAATAAAATGCTATCTCCTCCATCAGAGAAACACTTGGTTCCTCAACTAGGGAGAGGTTAGGGTTATCAAAAGGAACTGTGGGAGTATGTGGCTTGATACTTCACAGCACTGCTCATAATTTAATAATGCATCCAACAAAGGGTCATATATTGAACAAGAAGCCACTGAACTAATATTGTGAAAAAGTATGAAAGAATATGGTAAGTTTCTATTTGAAATTTTTGGGAAAAAGACATTGCTAAATTATAGATGCTCTTTAACTGTGATATGACAGAACATTATTTAAGTGGAGGGCAATTTAATGCTACACATTACATGGCTACACACATATATGCACAATACATTTCACCTTAGGGTATTACACAGCTGTTCACACACTGAATGAGGTAACTATGTGGCAAAACAGGCACCTTACTACTGGTAAAGAGTTCTGGGAACAAAATACGCACGTTTCCTTAGGATATGTCTCAATATTCAGTGTCTGGTACAGTACAAACCCAAAGCAGAGAGCTGCTCACGGATTTATTCTTTGTAAAGAAGAGAACTACCAAGCCAAGAACTCAAAAACTCTAGCAGGCTACATGCATAGCCATTCACATGTAGAATCACTCTGCACAAAGCAACCAAATTTATTTCTGAAATAAGGTGATGTCTTTTTTTCAGTATACAATACAATGAAATATGCTTGCAGGTATTGATTCAAGCAGTTCCACCACATATTGACAGCTTAGATCCAAAGGGCGACACTCCCTTTTACACAATACTCAAAGGCTGGCTTTAAGCACCAGTACATATTCCCTACCATAATTAAAGCATACATATTTCAACTGCTAAGGCTGTTATCAGAGACATGGTGCCTGTTCAACTCTACGTATATTTCTTCCAACCTCTCCTGCTGCATGGGCAGAGAACAGTACACCAGAGGCCAGCTTCTCTTCTGTGAGATCAGAGTCCAATTCCACCAAAGGTCCCCTGATCTTCTCTATGATCTTCCTAGGCATGCACAACCTTCATTCTGCCATCAAAAAGAAGATTTATCTCTGCTCTCTAACACAAATCACACCTTGTAAAAAGACAGGAAGATATAGACTTGTCTAAAACACATTCAATCTCCTATTTCCCAATGGAGGCGGGAAGTTGTTTATGGCTATCCCAGGAGTGCCGCATCTTCACATGCTGTTCCAGCTTTCCATCTTTTCCTGTTTTTAAGTGAATGAATCTCACAGTCTAGTTGAACAAACAAGGAGTCCTCCCTATAACGTTCTTACTTTTCTCTGCTCTACTTATGCCTTTTCCCTCATATAGTACAAGGAGGCATTATTTGTCCCTCCCTTCTGCCCAGTATTTTCTAGAAGTGCCTTTACCAATGTTATCCTATTGCACACACACTCAAAACTGCATCCCACTTAGTTCTATTTGACCTACAATCCTGGTTAGTATGCAAAGGTTAGCAGTATTAACTACAATGCCAGATAAGTTGTTCTGCTCATCAGGGATCACACTAGCTCATTTTGTAAGTTTCCTGAAATCTTTAATTGAACTCTCATAAATTCAATTAAGTAAAGGTTTCCCTATTATTTAATATTAATAACCCATTTGTCATCCAAGATACTATGTGCACTAGCAAATGAATCACTAGTTGAACTGTTATACAGATAATTTTAATATTATAAAACTGCTGCTAAAGATGAAAATATTGTCATTTCAACATGTATTTTATTACCCCCTTGGGTTTTTTATTATCATTATTATTTTACTGGAAAGAAACAAAGTGTGAGAGAAAGCTAGCATGTACTGCAGCGGTGGCTAAGCACAAAAGGAAAGAGCTGGAAATCCATGAATATTATGCCGGTCAATGGATCCGATGTCAAGAGTACTGAGAAACCATCTGTACTTCTTTCCAAATTGGCTTTTACAACTCTCAGTATTGCGCAACAGCATTTTAAAGGTGCCACACATTCAGGCCATACCTGAGCTATTCACATTACTAGCATGTGCTGCAAAATCATTAGGCCAACAAAAATGGGCACCTGGGGTCATCACTTCATTCCTCTGGAGCTGTCCCCTTTCAAGATCCAACGGGACATCTATCTTACAACAGGCTGACAGCAAGGAGGAAAGCAACTCCCTCCATCAACAGGACCACCCAACGCTAAACTGGCATGTCTTTCATGGGGTGGGGGGAAACCACCGCCAAGGCCTCCGCTCCCAAGTCCTGCTTTCTCATTCTTCACCCAACACCCGCACCGGGGTGCTGCAACTCCAGTGCCCTGACTCTCCCACCCGCCCCTTCCATCTTAGCTCAGTCTTCGGCCCGCCACTCACTCACCGCCGCGTTGCGCGCTATGTTTCGCCGGAAGCCCGTTGCTGTAGGGCACCCAGATCTTCTGGAGAGGGTTTTGCGTGAGCTCTCGAGCCGGCGACGACGCCATTCTGGCATATGGGGCTTGAGCTCTGCTGCAGTCCCGTCTGCTACGACAGCAAAGCGCGAACGCCCAGGAAGGTGCGCTCTAGCCCACCGCCGAGCCAGCCGGCTTGTGCCCGCTCTCCCTCAGCGGCGGGTAGGGGCGGGCAAGGCCACCACGGGGGCGGGGTCTGCAGCAAAGCCCCACCTCCTCAGGCCAGCGCGGAGAACAGGTTGCGGAGCTCGAGACAGGCGGACTCGCCCCAAACTCGGGAGCAATGCGCGGGAGGCGGAGAGGCTCGGCCGCGCCCCGCCCTCTGCGCGCTTCGCGGAGACAAAGGAG